TCGCCATGACTGGTGATGGTGTCAACGACGCTCCCGCTCTCAAGAAGGCTGATATTGGTGTCGCCATGGGCTCTGGCACCGATGTCTCCAAGCTCGCCGCCGACATGGTTCTCGCCGATGACAACTTTGCTACCATTGAGGTTGCTATTGAGGAGGGTCGTTCCATCTACAACAATACCCAGCAGTTCATCCGCTACCTGATCTCCTCCAACATTGGTGAGGTTGTCTCCATCTTCCTCACTGCCGCTCTCGGTATGCCGGAGGCCTTGATCCCCGTCCAGCTCCTCTGGGTCAACTTGGTCACTGACGGTCTTCCCGCCACCGCTCTTTCGTTCAACCCCCCTGACCACGACATTATGAAGCGCCAGCCCAGAAAGCGTGACGAGCCTCTCATCGGCGGTTGGTTGTTCTTCCGCTACCTGGTCATCGGTACCTACGTTGGTGTTGCGACTGTCGCTGGCTATGCTTGGTGGTTCATGTACAACCCCGAGGGTCCTCAGATCGGCTTCTACCATCTCTCCCGTTTCCACCGCTGCTCTGCAGACTTCCCCGAGATTGGCTGCCAGATGTTCTCCAACAGCTCCGCCAAGTCCGCCTCGACCGTCTCACTCTCCATTCTGGTCGTCATCGAGATGTTCAACGCCATGAACGCGCTGTCCTCGAGCGAGTCTCTGCTGTCGCTGCCTCTGTGGGCTAACATGAAGCTTGTCTATGCCATCACTCTTTCGATGGCTCTTCACTTCGCCCTGCTCTACACTCCTTTCCTCCAGAACCTGTTCTCCATCCTTCCCTTGAACTGGTTGGAGTGGAAGGCGGTCTTGTACATCAGCGCCCCCGTCATGTAAGTTGACTACCATTCTCGCTCGCTCATCTACCGTTGCTGACCTTTGTTCTTTTTTAGTCTCATTGATGAGGTCCTCAAGGCTATTGAGAGATCGTACTTCAGTCAGAAGAAGGCGATCAAGTCTACCAAGGCAAAGAAGGAGAACTAGATGGTTAGAGGCCAGCCCAAAGCTAGACCATAGATCACTTGTACCATAGTAGTAGCCCTGGCAACATTGCACAGAGCTGTAAATAGACCACAGCAGCCAACATCCAGGCATAAAAGTCACAAATAGGGATGTAAATCAAGGTCATTTGTCTAGTTCATGCAGGCTTCGGCAGCCATCTCATAGTGGATCACGTCCATCTATTGGTACAAGCTAGGTAGAACCTGTCCACTTGTAGCGGTTCTATCAAGTTTTCTCTTCCTCAACACCGAGTTCCTCCGCGAGAATTAGTCTTGTCTGCCCTTGAGCAGTCTCTTGGTGACCTTATCCTTCTCAATAATGTACACGTGCGCTCCCCATCCGGATAGTGCATCTCGGTCAACGGCGTTTAGGAGCGACTGGGAGATGGTTTCGAAGAGCTCATCAGGGCCCTGCGTGACGGTCCACGTTAGTTTCTGCTAGCATCCCTAAGGTGATTGATTCGTCATGTGCCACGTACCAGATCCGGCTCCCATAAGCTCTCGCACATGCCGAACAGCTGTTCAGACGCCGTACCAGAGACGATGAAGTCCTTGGCGAAGTCGATGCAGCCGATGCTGTCGAAGCCGCAGATGAAGGGCTTTCCCGTCTTGGGGTCAAGGCCGGCGACGACGGGGGAGACGAAGTAGGGGCCGAAGCGGCGCTCGTAGAGGGAGGAGCTGACGAGGTTGGCGAAGGTGGTCGGGGCGATGTTGCGCTCCTCGCGGAGACGGTACATGTTGACCTTGTAGCGGAAGAGGTCACCGACGGTCGTGACGTCTGTGGCGAGGCCGGTGAGGCCGAGGAAGACGTCGCCGTACTGGAAGATTTTGGGGAAGTTGTTGGAGACGGTGAGGGCTTGGAGGCCGAGGCGGAGATCGCAGGCTATTGCGACGCAGTCCTTGCCGACCATTGCAACGCAGGCACCGCCATCTGTGAGGGGAGGCAAGTTAGAATTGGTGATTCGGTAGAGTAACAATAGGACCTAGAGGTGGATTAAGAGGAAGACGAACTGATGGAGAAGGGAGAGCTCTGGACTTTTGGTTAGCTGGAGGGGGTTTCCTTTTGCATCTCGAGGCTGAGGAGGGGAGGGGGGATGACGGAGCGTACCATTTCGGGCTCTTAAAGCGAGTGACCGCTGGGTTCTGGTATGATTTGAGAGATTCTCAGAGTTGTGGTTTCGGCCGTGATTACTTCGTGATGGATCGTAGGGTCGGCCGTGGGGGGTCGTCGTCGTAGATGAGGAGTTCGTTTGGTGGTGATGGTGGTGGTTGTAGCTGCAATTGACGTTGAACCGATGCGGAATGCTGAGGTGTAGCGCTACCTGCCTGCTCTTGCTGGGTGCTGGGTGCTGGGTGCTGGGTGCTACTGCAGGGCAAGGCAAACACGCATGGCGCGGCCGAAGCGGTCGGAAAATCCACGTACAGTAGGCTGGAGCTCGCTGATTGGTCTGAGCTTGGCTCCAGCAGCTTTCAGCGTGGTGGTGCTCGATGATGCACGTCCCACCTCCCCTCCCCGACCAGGGCCCGGCTCGCGTCGCCTCTGCTGACGGAGCACCCTGACTGCCTGCTTCCCAGCCTTACGTACCTCCCTGAATTACCTGTACTTGGGTAGGACTCATTCACTTTGACGATTCCACTAAGGAACGATTGTTTACTGTCCACGTAGCTTCTTATTTCTATTATTACCTATACAAAAGGTGTTACATAAGGCCGGCTGAAAACGTCCAATATACACTTGTCCCGGACATCAGGCCGAACTGGACTTCCTGACATTGTGTTTCGTCGTCCTTCCGCCAACTTCTACTTAACTAATACACCACCTGAGCTTGACGCAACGCCCGCCCCCCGCCGAGACTCGAACCCCGCCAACAACATATTGAACACGATACCCCGGATCAGATATCAATCTTTACCGAAAATCAACTTCACTACGACTGAACACGTCTGGTTATTGAAAAGAATAAGACATTGCGTTTTCGTCTACGGCATTTCTCAGTTGCTACGATGTCGCACGTGGTGGTCATCGGCACGGATTTGCGGAGAGCTACCGTCAAGGTCAGCCCAGGCACCTACATGACAGATGTTCTCCAAGAGGCATGCAAGAAGCTCAACGTCTCGAGCGACAAATACCTCTTGAAGTACCTTACTCATTCCTGAAAGACCCTTACTCGTCGCAGTAAGCTAACCATCTGCCAGGCATAAGCAGAAAACAGTCGACCTCTCAGTAGTCTGGCGAGTGAGCGGTCTCACTCCCGGCGCCAAACTCGAGCTCGTCCAGAAGTCCAAAACACCATCAGCCGTCTCCGTTGCACTCCAGTTGCCGATGCCCGAAGCCAACTCGGCGCCCAACGGTCGTTTAATCGAGAAGCTACCAAGCGACTTTACGATATGGAAGGTACTGCGCCAGTTTGAGAGCGGCGTTGCTGGAAATGGGAAGAACTTCAATATCACAGCGCGGGGCGTCGCGCAAACAACAAGCGGAGGCGCGAGTGGAAGCGGCCAGATGTACTACGAGACGCCAGTCCTGAACATCATGGGTCGGGAGCTTTGCACGTTTGAGGACTTCCAGAAGACACTGTCGCAACTTGGATACAATTCGGGCAGCGTTCTGATCCGCTTGTCGTTCAGAAAGACGGACCGCACGTTGTTCCAGGCTATGGAGGAAATCAGTCAATTCTTTTCCGAGGTTGAGGCAGAGGAGAAGAAAGCGGCCCCGGCTGCAGCTCCGGTGCCCGCCGCGGAGGGAACAGAGTCTACAGCAGCTGAAACTGCCATCGTGACGCCAAAGGGCACAACGGCTGAACAGATAGGCGACATTCCAACGCAAGAACAAGCAGATCAGGAGGCGCCGGCAGCAGATGCCATGGAGGTTGATCAAGCAGAGCCGACAGACCCTTTGCAGCCTGTCAGCGTCTTCCGGGCTCCAAGCGGAACCACTCCCGCGGCAGCCCTTGCAGACGTGCCAGAGGATGACTATGCCCCGACGATTGCCCACGCCCAGCTTCATCAGGCTCGACTCCAGCAGAGCGCGCTCAACAAGAGACTTCCTTCCGACAAGGAGCTGGAGGCGCAAAGACAGGCTGAGGAAGCCCGTCTAGCGGCTGTCACCACAGTTCCGATGAAGGTGCGGTTCCCCGACAACACTTCAGCGCAATGGACATTTGGCCATGAGGCTACAGGGGCGACCCTCTACCAGGGCGTGAGATCTGTCATGGCACACAACACCCAGCCCTTCAAACTGGTCATACCCGGCAGCAAGGTCATACTTAAGGACGATGAGAGCGCAAAGAACCGTTTGATCCACGACTACAAGCTCACGCGTAGTGTGTTACTGAGTCTGGTCTGGGACGACAGCGTGCCAGTAGATATCCGCAAGAAGCCCTTCCTCAAGGGTAGCGTCGCTCAAAAGGCCCAGGATGTTACGGTACCGGACATTCCCAAAGGCGACGACACAAATGAGGAGCAGGCTATTGCTTCGTCGTCGAAACCTGAGAAGAGGGAGGGAAGTGGGGACGGCAGCGTTGCGAAGAAACTTCCCAAGTGGCTCAAGCTACCTGGAAAGAAATAGACGGATCGTCTTTTGTACAATGTTGCAGCATTACTCGGCCATTATCGCATGGCGAGCGTATTCATGGATTTGGAGTTTCACGGGGCATAGGGTAAACCAGATAGACTATGGTCAAGTCGTCAATCAGAGCCTTCACGAGAGCGTATGATCACTTCAATGCTGACGAAACATGAAATAGGTCAAAGTAGAGTCTGAGGCAGCAATGGGTTGTGCTTGAAATTTTGGTATTTGTCATGAAGGCATCATCATTCCATGATGATACGGGGGAGTTCCGTTGATTTGTTTTTAGAAATAGACCACAAACTTTTATGCTGTGACCACGCCCTTGACCCATATAAACCCAGTAGTTTGCCAGTCCAACACAACAACCCCCATTGCGCCCCATTTTGGTTTTGACGAATTCTCTCGAGAGGGGGAAATCGTTTAGTGACCGACACGGCGGGACTCGGCGATGACGCGGGTCATCTCCTCGACCTTTCTCTTGGCGCGGCCGAAGGTGCCGAGCCTCTTCTTGGCGAGCTTACGGGCGCGCTTGTCCTTGGAGTTGCGGAGCAACTCAATAACGCGGCGCTCGTAGGGGGCAAGGCTGTTAGGGAGGAAGACGGTTAGCAACCTGTTGTCCGTGTGTGAAGTGCATCCAAGTCGATGTCACGTGGACGAGACTTGGAGATGGTGTATAGAATGGAACTTACCCAGAGACTTCCTTGACGACGTCACGGACGAAAGCGGTGCGCTTGCTCAGGTGGCCCTTGGTGCGGGAGACACGGGGCTTGACGACACGAGCGGTGGTCTTCTATATTTCCGAAACAATCACGACCGGTCAGCGTCCATCTTCTGCAAGTAAGGTACCCTCGTGGAATGAGAGGTGTTGTGCAGAGATCCTCCACGAGGTGAGACGAAGCGGAGATGATATGGGGGGAAGAGGGGGACAGTGCCGCCGATTTCCCTTCCTGACAGAGAAGCCCATCTTTCTATGTGTTCATTTTTCAATGTGTGTATCCATCTTCGAACCGTACTTCCAGAAACGGAAGTTCGAGATTTCGTTTCGCAGAATTTCGGAGGGCTTTTCTCTCAGGTCGGGACGGCGGCGGTGATAATTGCGGTGGTGGTAGTGGTTTGACATACGTGTCCATGGTTGAGACCGGTGATGAGACCGGTCTTGACGGGCGCTTCCTTGGCCATCTTGAATGCTGGATGACGGGTGGGTTGTCGGGTTAGTATTGTCGTGATGGTCAGAGGGGGGAAAAGCCAAATAGACGTTCGCCTATGAAAAAAAAAGTTGCAATGGTGGATTGGGAATTTTCGGCGGGTGGGTTTGTGCGGTCACGTGGCTTGGGGTTTGTCAAAGGCGGCAGGTCGTTGGATTTTATGGGTGCTCCTGCAGGCCGGGCTGGGTAAGGTGGTGGAGCCCATGAGAGAGGTTGGCTGGATTATCCCCGATAGGCTCTGATTGGCTTTCATTTCTAGAAGACGAAATGACCCAAGTATTCTACGGAATTATCTCTTCCCATTGCAACGCCTCGATGAGGCACACTTCTATCAGTACAGAATAGGATGGTTCCCTTACGTGAATACATGGTAAGACAGGCAGCATTGAGGCGAATTAGCAATTGTGAGTTGGTCAAGACAACGTCTTACAAAGATACGGCCCGTGGTGGTGCCCATCATGGGAACGCAAGCCTCAGCACTGGGTTGACGATTGATTCTCTACGCTTCACTTCCACTTCACCGAATTTCCCATTCAACCAGCTCGCCGTGTATCCGTAAGGTACGGTTCTGGAACCGAAGGCTGCGTCCAAGCTATGTCTAGGTAACTTGACTCACCCATTGCACGCATCTCGTATCTGTACCTGAGCTCAGCCAACACGGGCCAGAGAGGATGCACGCCGAGCCTGATACCTTTGTATCTTCTTTCTTTCAACGGCCCGGCCGAGCCAGCCAGCCAATGTGCTCACTCTGACAGCAGAGCCGCGCATCGGGATCGTCCGTCCAAGCTTTCCTGTTTACTTCGTCACTTGTTTTCCCCTTACAGAATGGGTCCCTTGTCCCAATCCCTCCAATTCCAGATCCCTCATGCGCTGAAGCCACAGCCGTAGGTACCTTACTCGAGACTCTATAGTCCCAGCCCCCTGAGCACAGCCTCTCGTATGTCCCTGGACAGAATAGTGCCTTCCGCCCATCTCAAGCTCAACAACATTTGGAGAATCAAGGCAACAAGGGCAGTGGGGCAGATCTACATTTACCCAACTTAGCCGTCGTTTGGCCGTTGGCGTCCGCTTCCAAGAAAGGGGGAGGATCTCTGATGTGATCAACAGCCCAGGCGTGGACCAGCGCTGGATGCCATGCTGGAAAACATGAAACACTCAGGAGCCAATCAGATCCAATAGTTCCCCTGAATAAGGACCAAACATGCCAGCCGACGAGCATCAACCTCCCACGCACCACCGCTACTACTGCTACCATTCGTATATGCTGCATTAAGGCCATTCGTAAGTTCTTTACTAAGGTATCCTTGGGGTCCATCTTTAATGGCGGGCTGGGAATGTTCTTGTCCCCTCATATGGGGCTAAGAGGCCAACCGCCTGCACCTCAGCCATCCCGTTAACGCGGGCGGCTCGGACAATTACATCAGGATCTGCGTATTGCTCTCGCCCTTCATGAGAGTTTAGCCATGTCATCGTAGCCACCCCTGAAAAGCGATTTCCTGCAAGGAACGGCATAGAAGATCTGCTGGGTCTGTGATCCTGTGCCTAAATCGGGTTTTATTAATAAAGGTTCATCTGGGAAGCAGCTGCCAGCAAGACTACTAGGTTAACATAGTCCTTGACCTCTGATCATCCCATCTTTTCAGTCTTTCCATTTTCTCCTCAACTATCCGAACGTTTCTCGCTTTCTCTGACCTTGGCATTCTTACTGTTAAAGTACATACCTACCATCCTTGATCATACCACGCTCGTAAACCAAACGTCACACACAAGCCATGAAGCTGTCACTCCTCCTCATTGCTGCCCCCGCGGCACAGGCCGCGGTCTCATACATGTCAGCCGTTCCCGACAAGCTCATGGCCATGGTCGAGGCATCAGAAGACTGCAACCTACCCGACGACTTCCAGATCCAAAACTTTGCCGCCGAGTCAGCGGATGGCAAGACGGCGGACTCGCTCGACTTTACCTTCAACGACGACAGCACCGTCCTCAACACGCAGTGCCACCTCAACGCCTCGTCGGTGCCGGTGTCCGGTGACGGGCGGACACCGAGGTACGCTTGCGACAACGCTAGTGTGCAATTCATCTGGCAGAATGGCACGATCACAGTCATTGAGAAGGTTTGCCCTGGTGACGACGGGTAAGTCAACTGATTTTCTTTCACACGTAAAGCTGTGACGAGGAATCCTATGTTCAACATGCTGACATATTTTGCTCAGTGCCGCCGACTACGAGGCTTCCGGGACGGCCGCGGTTCCGTTGGTGTGCGACGGAGGTGCCGCGAACGGGACGGGCAACGCCGCCAGGTCACACAGACGTACAAGGAGGGCAGCCGTTGCATGCAAGTCCAACTCGGACGACATCCGATCGAGATTCTTCAGCATCCAGCCAGTTGGTTAAGAGGGCGGGGGAGAGTGCTCATGGGATGAACGTAAAAAAGCAAATCTAAAGAGACACAATGGCAGTGACCATGGATGATGAAACAGATATGAGTGAGCGCACGCTGAGACCTTCTTGGGTTACAGTCACAGATGGTAGGCCCGAAACAGAACCTTTCCATATGAGAGGAAAAGCAAAATGAATTGTATTCGTAATTAAGTCACGAGAACGTCCAAATAGAACAAACAATAGACCTAGGCTTCCGCCCACTTTTCGCATGAGATGATGGGAATTGAAGTCATCCACACTTATCCCCAACATTCAGGTCCCAAATGGTCAGCAGGACTTCAAGGAGTGTGAGAAGACCCGCCCCGTTGACAGCTTTTCGCGGGGCACGACAGCCCAATCCCAGGTCCTTCCCCGGCAGCCACAGGGGAAGAGGGCCACCCAGGACCAACCATTTGTCGGCAAGCGTCGCTTGGCCGCGCCTCTCCGCATTTTGCATGGAAGGCACGCCGTGCTTAGCACCTTCTTCACTGCCGCTTCTTTCAATTCGCTCCAGGTCCCTTTCTCTGCATGACGGAATGACCTCACCACGCTCACCCTCACGAGATCAGCCCTGAGACGTCGGTATCCCGTCCAGTTCTCTCCTCTCTCCATCCACCCTTCTGTACCCTAGGTAATACGAGTGCATCGTTGAACACACGCACCATTCACCTCCATCTCAACAAAATACCTAAGTTAGTAGGAACCTGCACGGGTGCAATCGTCATCATGCGCTTTTGAAGGGCCACGCGTTGAGGCTTTCCTTGCCGTTAAACGTGGTACATCGTCGCAATCGTCACGATCATAAATCGAACCCTCAACACCCAATACCTACCGACGTCGCTGTCTAGGTCTCTTCAAGCTGACCAACCTACGCTGTTCAACCTGGACGGTCAACTTACATTAAGCAAACTCAACAATCTTCTGCGCAATGTCTATGAGCCTGCGCGATCGATCATAGCCTGCAATTTCAAAGGGACGTAGACCACATCGCCAACTCGAATAGAACAGAATGCTACCGCCGACGCGATACCTACTCTCCTTCCTCCAGCTTGCGCCACTGGTTGGCCTAGCTTCAGCGACACCATTCGACAACGCGCAGCCGCAGCCGCAGCAACAGCAACCATTGCTATCGAGCAACGACACCAAGCATGCTGCACCCCCGCTGCCTGTCTCCGTCGAGCTCTTCCGATCCCTCGAACGTACGTCTCGCATCGTCGACATCACCTACTGCGTCGGCACCACGGGTATTTCGCAGCCCTTCTCATGTGTCTCGCGCTGCAAGGAGTTCCCCTCCTTCACACTCGTCTCGACCTGGAACACAGGTGTCTTGCTGAGCGACAGCTGCGGCTACATTGCCGTCGACCATGGCGTTCGTAGGCCCGGCGATGAGGACAGGTTCAATGGCAAGGTCGGGGAGAAGGCTATCATCATTGCCTTCCGGGGTACCTACAGTATTTCCAACACGATTGTCGACCTGAGCACCATCCCGCAGGAATATGTACCATACCCGTCTCCCGATGACGGGGGCGAGGCACCCAAGGAGCCCAAACGCAAGTGCAAAGACTGCACCGTCCATATGGGTTTCCTGACCTCGTGGCGTCAGGCGCGGAGGCTCGTCATTCCAGAGGTGAAGAAGCTGAGGGAACAATACCCGGACTATCCTATTCACCTGGTCGGCCACAGTCTCGGTGGCGCCGTTGCCATGCTCGCATCTCTCGAGCTCAAGATCTCCTTTGGCTGGGATAATGTTAAAGTCACGACCTTTGGCGAACCCAAGGTCGGCAACCAAGGCCTTGTAGACTATGTCGACGAGGTCTTTGGATTAAGGGATGAAAAGGACGAGGACATTTCGAAGCGGACCTACCGTCGCGTGACCCACGCCGATGACCCAGTGCCGCTGCTCCCACTTACAGAGTGGGGGTATAAGCCTCATGCCGGGGAGTTCTACATCGCCAAGGCCGAGCTGTCCCCGTCTCTCGAAGATGTAGTGGCCTGTCGCGGTGACAGTGACGCAAGCTGCATCACGAAGGCGGACGATAGCTTCTTCGGATCCAGGCTGAAAGACTTTGTCGAAGTTGCTGCAAAGTCGATGTTGGCACCGCCCGAGGGACTCGTTGCAGAGACCAGCAGGTGGATCAAGAGGCTGCCGGGCTTCCCGGCTCGACTAAAGCTTTGGCAGCTACTCTTTGCGCACCGGGACTATTTTTGGAGACTCGGGCTGTGTATGCCCGGCGGCGATCCGGCGAATTGGGGGAGGGACAAGTACGGAGGTGGTCATGACAGTCTACTATCCGAAGAACTGTGAGCCCCTGATCGACTTATGGGCTGTCATATAACAAGTGTATTCAAATGTGATAGTATGGGTACGACTACTAGTTTGACTAAATGGGTTTTGAAAAAGCTACGGTTGGTTGCTTGTATAGCGCTTGTATGAAAATGGCGGGCGTTTTTCTTTTGGCTTACATTTCTCAGTAACCTGGGCGTGACTCCAGACTGAGCGGCACAGTAAAGTCAAAAATATCATGAATACAAAATAGTACGTTTAGCAACACTCGAATGGTGTGTTTTGAGTCGTGGCAAACTGGTAAAACTTGAGTCGTTTGCCGACCACCGTCGTCTACCTTACGAATCAGCATCTGACACGGGGCCATCCATGATAATAAGTTGTGGGAAAAAATCATTACTCGGTTTACGTTTCATTGGGTGGATGATGTTCGTTTGTGGTGTATCACGCCATCAAAGTCAAAGGGCAGAAACAACAGACATTGTTTGATTTAATATTTTCTACTGCTGTACGTCTCTCTTACACGTCGAAAAGAGACTTTGTTCATTTCAAAATTGCGAAGAAAATTCCGTTCTGTTGATTATACACGGATACTTGGATAGAATACTTTCACGGAGGGCCACAGCCGGTCACGTATAAATCGTTGGACTGGAAATTATGCGAACGCCGGGAACAGCCCGGGTTGAGTAGGTAGGTAATAGAGATCGCTTCTTTGGATCCTGGGATTTGGCTTGAGCCTTGTTGGCTTGGAGTGCTTACTTGAACCTCGCGGTTATCGGCTCCTCTCCCTCGAGTCCAACTACTGCAGTTCCCACACTTCCCAGTGTTCGTTGCTGTTGTGGGTTCCCGGGTTTTCCATGACCAGGTTGGCTTGCCCTCCGCATGAATTTCGTCCGCACCTCCGGGTTCGGGCATTCATGTCATTGTCACTTGGAATTTGGTGGGGGGTCGAGCAAAAAGAGAAGGAAGGGATACCAGGGCGAGAGATGAGGGGTAAGAGGGAAAAGCAGCTACTCCGTAAACCAGCGAGGAGGGAGCATGGCCCGCAAAGGGGGCCGTGACATAAACTTGAGGCCGACGGGTAAAGAAGCATTGCCGTGGTCGACATCGCGTACGGATACTGGGGATCGCGGAATATTTTCTCGAGAGAGAACCTAAGCTGCAGCCTGCAAGTGCTGCCACACCGACGACACCCGCCCAGAGGGTGCCACGCGATAAGGCGGCGACCAAGGGGCCTGTTGCATGCGAGTCGCCTGTTCGACCCGACTGCATGGAGGATCCCCCCATGGGCTGTGCTGGATGTGAGTCACCCGAAAGCTACCTATGATGGCATCGAGTTGGTGTGGTGGCAGTGGTTGGCTTCGAAGTTGGGACGAGAAGGGCGGCCAAGAGATTGGGTGGACCAGATTTCAGAGTATGATACTTATACGTGTTCGGCCATAGAGACAGACACTGCTTCGTCTCGCAGGCCGAGTTGACATGAGTTTGCTGGATCTGTACACTATGATGGCAGTATTAGTCGCCGTGGTTGACGTTTCACTCGCGGGACCTCTGGGCCTACGAGGAGACAAGCCGGGGATGGCGGATGGCACGCTGATCCAACGGGGGATCATCCCTTGGGTTGGAAGTTGAAACCGGTTTCTTTGGGGTTTACGTTAGAAAGACACGACAGCAGATTGATGAACGATCGGACATTTCGCAGATTGGGCGTAAGTGGGTGGGCAAGGTGGTTTCGTGCATGACACAGCGCAGCGCTCTCGACAAGCATGTGCGCGAGCGCAACAACAACGCAGGGAGAGCCACAGGCGGAGCATTTCGTGGTGACTGGCACGAATAGACGACAACCAAACTGAGAAGATACCATCGTGGTCAGGCGGTAATGTAAACCGGAGGGGATCGTGGCTTAGTCGACCGGGTGGCTGCTGCTCTCGGCAAAGAGGCGCCGGGCTCCGCGAGGCAATGCAGACTGTTGAACGAGACCGTGACTGACAACGATTGGCCCGAGAGCAAGACAAAAAGTGCAGAAGCTGGTATTGACGGCTACAAGGTCGTTGTAGGATTCCGGCTCGCCGTTTCAATTCCCCATTTCCAATATCCAGGGCACAATCTGAATCCAGTGGGCTGGTGCCCAGGGTCTTTTGACGCTCGCAATAACGCTTATTACCTCTTCATCTGTCGTAGATGAATTTTCTTGTCCCCAACCACAAGAGGTCCAATCTAACTTAGTAACTGGGCGATAGATTTCGAAAAAAGAGAAACTCCGAAGTAGAAGATGTAGTCGAGGACGACTCACGAGCCAGGTATGGATTATGTGAGTTTGAGACAACATGGGATGGCATTTGATGCCCGTCTTTAAGCATTTCGGCGAGATGAGGTAAGCCATCGGAAAAGAACTGTATTTGCTTCGAGACACGGCCCAACCCCGATGGGGTTCTGGAACAGCGAGTATCTATCCGTAGCTAGCCACGAGATTTCGCATGCTGAGATCCGTCAGACCCAATTACATCGGACGCCTGTGTCCTGTCGAAATGTGTTGCTGCACTAGAAGTTGCGCCATTCTCGTGCTGGGTATTCTCATGGATAGAGCAGGCGGCCACAAGTTGAAGTGAGGTGGACGCGACGAATATGAGAGGTGAACTGAGGGGAGTGGATTGTCCGTTGATGAACAGACTGCAGGGTGTGCGGTAAAGCAAGGGCCAGCGGACACTGTCACGCGTGGATGCGCTTGGAACAGGAGAGAATCACGGTATCACCAGAAGGAAAGAATCACGAGACCGCGAAAAAAAAGCAGTTGTGGTCAGGGAAGAAGATACGTACATGGTGGGCGTGTCGCAAAAGCAGGAGCGGGGAAATGCATGGAGAGGGTGGGGCTAGCCACAACAACCAAATCAGCCAGTCAGCAGCCAGCATTTAGGGTGTTTCTATGCTTGTGTTATGCTGTGCTGTGCTGAGCTGGCCGTCTGTCCACCACACGCGCATCATTTTGGGGGCTGGAGCTCGCATTCAACGAGTCAAAAAGCAAATGACCTTCACCGGAGTTATCTGAGTGACCTGAACCCTCTCCGAGTTCCCCCCTTCTGGCGGACTCATTTGCGAGCTCGTTTCTTCTTCTTCTGGCTCAGCCTTTTCTCTGCAATTTCCTGGCCTGAAGAGGTCATTGTGTTGCTAATTTCCATCAAGACTCCCATTCTTACCCGAGCGGCTTCAATACAGCTCTGGAGCTCAAATGGGTGACGGATCCATCCCATCGGTCATTTGGCAACTAGACAACAGCCCGGAAGAGACGGGTTCAGGCTCCTTGGATGCTATTTCCAACTTTGAAGCAAGTGGTATTTCAATGATAGAAAAAGACTTGAGGTTATCAGAAAGCAGTTGTTCGCTCGAGTTGCTGTTCAAGTATCGAGGTACGAAGTCTGGGAGTACCTCTGCAGTACATATACGACCCAGACCAACCGGATGGGCGTCAGTTGTGGACCAGGGAGATACATCATGGGCCTGGTTCTTTGGAAGCGGAATCATGCCTTTGATGTGCTCGGCGGGCAGGCTAATCTCAGGGCCGCTCTCCACCAGAAACGCGGACCTCACCACATGCAAATGGAACTTAGCTTGAAATTCCCCGTCCGTTTCCTGTCTCTCCGATGCTCTCCCGTTCACTCACAACGCGTATGTGAAGCCTTTTGGGGGCCCGGTACTTTGAGTGTACAGTACGGATAACAACGAACGCAAAGATAGGGAGTGTGATAATAACTAGGGGAATGATAGCAGAAAACCGCTTTCACTGCCTTGCCACATGGGCATAGCCCATTCATCAGCACTTGGTACATTGGGCCAGATGGTGTTTCCTCAACTGTCCGAGGCACGCAAGGCGAAGTATCTTGGGGCCTAAAGTATTGATGATGGAGAGCCTAGCCCAGCCCAGCGTCCCCATTTCTCTTGCCTTCCCGCCAAATGGGAACCCGCCCATGTCCTGGGGGCCCATTTGCCAGAGTCCCCGAGCCCCGAGAGCCTGACCACGTCCATAGTAATATCCAATTCACTCGATCCGTCCATTCCAATCCAATTCCAGGGTTCTTCTCTCCCAGCACAGGCCAACGCAGAAGGGGCAAGCCGCAGGCAAGCGAGGGGAGGGGAGAAAAGGGAACTTAGTGGGGTCGAAGCGGCAGGTGCAGCCAGCAGGCACAGGGCAGGCAAGCTCAGTCGACTAATTACAGCACAGAGAAGGGTACTGCAATGGAGGTACCTACACCGTATCGAGAGAGAGCAAGGTGGATGAAGATTGAAACCACACATACCTTATTCTTAGATAGGAATTGCATTTCCTGGTGCTATGGAACCCAAAGACTTCATGTCCCTTGTCTTGCCGAAAGAAAGCAACGTGAGCCCAAGTGCAAGCAGCAGAAATCTGGGCAGTAAGGTACGATAGAGGTGACCCCAACGTGCGCAGGTGGGAAAATCGGCAGGTGGAGGGGGTGGATGGGCGGCACCTCCCTAAGGCTACCTTAGCTAAGGTAGTTGGGTAGGTAGGTAGGTAGGTACCTTTGGTGAAAGACTGGGAGGGAAAGAACGACCTTGGGACTTGGGACTTGGACCAACCCAATTAAATCTTCACTGGACTGGCCTCGCAACTTCCCTTTGAGATTCCCCCCCTCTCCCAAAATAATTCGTCACACGTAAACACTCCCTCCGCCTTCCCTCCTTCTCCCACCGCACACCTTTTTCCACTCTTCAACAACAAAACAAAGCCGCGTCAACTTTCTCACCACTCCGTTGCACGCCTTTCGCAGTATCCATTCCCGCCTTCTCTAATCTTCTACCAAACCACCTCAACCTATCCTCATCACCTCAATCCACGAGTTCAACATGTCTGGCGATGTAAGTACCTTTTCCCCCACGCTGCCCAACACAACCTCACCCCAAAACCCCTCCGGAGCCCCTCGATTGCCCTGCCTGCCTGTGACACGGCAACGAAGATGCCCATGATGCGACCCTCGATCCACCGCTCTGAATCCTGCGATCGATGCTATTTTTGCCTCATCTGCCTTTTCCAAACCCGACGACCCTCTTTCTCCCCTTTCAAATCACTCATGCCTCCTATCGCCCGCCTCGGGAACAAAGTATGCTGACTTGTGCCCCTCTTCTAGCGTGAAAGGTTTGTGCCGAGCCCTCCTCCTCGTCGATGGACTACGTCTCATCAATCGCACCCATCTGGCCTCGAGGCCTTTCGCCAACTTTTTTTTTTTCTCTGACTGACCCTTTCCCTACAGCAAGACCTTCCTCGCTCGCCTTTGCGAGCAGGCCGAGCGCTACGATGAGATGGTTGGCTACATGAAGGAGGTCGCCAAGCTGGGCGGTGAGCTGAGCGTCGATGAGCGCAACCTCCTCAGCGTTGCCTACAAGAACGTCGTCGGTACCCGCCGCGCCTCCTGGCGCATCATCTCCTCCATTGAGCAGAAGGAGGAGAGCAAGGGCACCGACAAGCACGTCGGCACCATCCGCGAGTACCGCACCAAGATCGAGCTCGAGCTCGAGCAGGTCTGCCAGGATGTCCTCGATGTCCTCGACGACAGCCTTATCCCCAACGCCCAGACCGGCGAGTCCAAGGTCTTCTACCACAAGATGTACGTTATCCGACGCCGTCGCCGCCGCTGCCGGCAGCCTTTATCAAAGGTCCAATTTCCGAAACTGACCGCGGAATTCTGTAATGTAGGAAGGGTGACTACCACCGCTACCTCGCTGAGTTCGCCTCTGGCGAGAAGCGCAAGGGTGCCGCCACTGCCGCCCACGATGCCTACAAGGTGAGAATCCTGGGTCGGATACTGCCGCCTCAAGAGAACATGGAATCTGACAATACGACCCTCTCCTTTAGAGCGCTACCGATGTCGCTCAGACCGAGCTGACCCCCACTCACCCCATCCGCCTTGGCCTGGCCCTCAACTTCTCCGTCTTCTACTACGAGATCCTGAACTCGCCCGACCGTGCTTGCCACCTCGCCAAGCAGGCCTTCGACGATGCTATCGCCGAGCTCGACTCTCTCTCTGAGGAGTCTTACCGCGACAGCACCCTCATCATGCAGCTCCTGCGTGACAACCTCACTCTCTGGACCTCTTCCGACAGCGGCGATGCTGAGGGTGCTGCTGCTGGCACCACCGAGGCTGCTGAGAAGAAGGAGGAGCCCAAGGCCGAGGAGCCCAAGGCCACCGAGGAGACCCCCGCTGCCTCCTAAATTCTTGTCTTACCCTGATACCACTCCATCTCGGCTCGCGACGAGGCTGAGATGGCTCGTCTGCTCGACCGTCGGTATGCGCTATATGCGGACCTTCTGACGGCCCCAGTCTAGCCGCCAAATCGGTGGCTAATATCGGTGACTCGCTTCGAGTCTCGCAGCAAAAGGGGAGGGGTTTTTGAGGATTGGACGCGGAGAGAGGAACAATGCGTGGCATGATTTCTATTGGTGTCTTGGATGTCCAACCAGAGTCTGGAACAGCTTCGTTTCTGTTCAGGGATTCTAATTGGCAACTAACTACTGATTCCCCCCTCTATATCCGCCTACGCTCAGAATCTCTTCTTTTGTTCTCCTCGATTCCTGCTTTTACCTCTGTGCTGGATGGTTTTACGGCTGTCTCGTGTTCTCTTTTCGGTTTTCCTCATAGTGGTCCTTCAGTTGTCGCGCGTCTTCTCACGGAGAGAAAGTCCTTTTGCCCCCCTCAAATGCCCCCTGTCTATTCAGTCTACAAGACCAAAAAGAAAATAACAAATGTTCATCAATAACTGTGTCCGACACCGTGCTGCGATTTGATAACGAAGTCTCGGAGTGTTGGGACGAGAGGTGATCAGAGGGAGCCTATTGACCGTGTGACAGATATACCTGCAGATGCCATGACTGGTAGCAGGATGGCCGATCAGGGACTATTCGTGATGTGATGAGGCTGTCAAGTGCTTTGCTGACAAGGTGTCAAAGCTGTTGAACGAGGCAATGGGCAAAGCAGGCAGGTCAAGTGTAGAATGATGAACAAATTGGTATTCCCTGGTGATATCTCCTGAACATGCCAGAATACAACCATGTGTAATGTGGATGGCACATTTCAAAAACGCCTACCAGCCTAGCCAGCCCATCCCCAGAACTCCTCCGTATTTCCAAAAAGCCCCCAAAACTGAGAAAGGAAATCTGATGTGCGCCTCGTGATATTCGCAAGACCCATGCATTTCACCCACTTCTCTGTGTCAATTCGCCTGCTCTTCTCGTACTCCATCGTGTACATGTACGCTTCTAGCGGGCCGCGTTCGTTCTCGCGAGCAGCCTCTCGGCCCTCCTGAGCCTCGCTTGCTTCTCGGCGATGAGCTTCGGCACGTGGCCCCGGCCCTCCGAGTCCGCCTCGTCAACGGCGCAGTCAGCGTCTTCGGCTTCTGGTTCATCTCCTGCCGCCATTGCTGCCGCTGCCTCGGCGGCCAGTGCTGTATTCGTGGCCGTGGGCCAACCGGCTAGAGTTGCGCGTCGGTACATCTTGGTTGCGTCCTCGGCGCCGCGGGGTGGCATGGGCCCGCTTGTCCTGCTCCCGCTGAGCTTGCGGACAAAGTTGCGCATGCCGCGGAAGAGTGCGTTGTTGGCCGTCTTTGCGCGGAAGATGCCCGGGGCGATGTGACTACCGGGCAGGACCCCGCCGGGTTGCGTCTGATCGAGGTAGGCGGACGACGGCTCCAGACCCATAGCGGACGGGGCGCCGAGGCGGGAGCATGTTGGGCAGTATGTCCCTTGCCCTGGCAAGATGTCGCTACGGGGGAAGGTAAAGGCGTCGCCCGCTCCCGGAGAGGATGCAGATGAGGACGCCGAGGAGGACGCCGCGGAGAGGGAGATGTTTGTTGAGGATGCGGAGGCGGCTGGGGAGGAGGGCGGGCATGTGCATAGGGATGCCGAGGCCGCTACCTCTTCACGCCAGACTTGGATGCGCTGTTGCTTTGAGAGAGTTGGGTTGGACATTTTATATGCTTTTTTCCTCCTTGAATGTTGGTCCGGGTATGTGATATGTTGATATTTGCTCAAGTTGAACAGTGTGCTTCGTTTTATGAGTTTGCAGCGGTTCTTGGCGACCGTTTCCTCCTATGAAGTATTGTGTGACCAAGTACCCATTCAGTGGCCGTTCGCAGTTTGTTCGTCGTAACGGGATTGAGGGTCTCGGTTGCTAACCTTGGAATGAAGGTGATGCTCAAGCCAAGACCGAAAGCAGGAAATGTCGGTGGGGGGAGGGTCTTCGAGAAGGTCTGCGCTCTACGTGACAGAAGCCCAAAACATACAGGTGAGAGGGAAAATCAGGTGTCGGACGTTGAGATCAAGTACTGACAAGGTCCGTCCGTTTTGATGATATCGTCCAGACGTGAAACAGACAGGAAAAGGTGTAAGATGGGAGGAGAAGCAAGGAGGTTAAAGGAAAAGGAGGATATTAGAGTAAAAAAGTTGGTGGCCGTCTAATAGTGCGTAGGTAACACGAGACCTGTTCGGGTGCTATGCAAGGCTGTCTCTGCTCGGTAGATGGTCTCCAACGTCCCGTTCATGTGCTCTTCCGTCGTGTGTCTAAGGTACACTCCAAGTGTGATTAAGTCGGCGCCAACCCCGGATTCGAAGATAAGATGGGCGGTGTATGCGCGTGTTGCATGCGCGTGTGTGCGGGTGTTGGTGTCTGTTTTGTGAGGCAACTAGGTGTGGCCGGTGACCAGATGACTTGAAGCAGGTTGGGAATTGTCGAGATAGGTACGAAGACGGGTAGGTAGAGATGGTGAGGGGAACTCGAGTGTTTTCCTCTTTCACTTGTCTGGCTTGTTCAGAACAGCGGCAAACGAGAGCAGGAGGGCAAGACGATGGATGAACGAGTCAAGCCTCTTCTTGTCATCCGGTCTTCTCTTTTTGGCGGTACGCAGGTCTTAGCGGGAGAGTGAATGCCTCCGGGCGTATGAAACAAAAACAAAAGAGTATTTAAATTGAAAGGTGGTAGGTTGAGCGGAGCTTCAAGTCAGGTTAGGGATGAGAATAAGAAATGAAATCCCAACAGCGGCGGCGGTGATGGAAGCACGTTCAGAAGAAGAAAAGATATCAGCTGGAACTGCGAGGAGTTGCGGTCTGCACCGGTGGGCTTGTGATTATGTTTAGGTAAGGGTGTTTTGGTAATAGAGCCAAGTTGGTATCAAGGAGAATTGGTTTGCGTGATAGGAGAGCTCGGCAAGCGGGATCTGTAGGGTCGACGCCATGCGTCTTAGTAGGGGATGTACTTTGCTGCAAAGCGTCTCATGAAAAGGAAACAAAACAAACCACCCCTTGAAGAGGAGTAGGCAGCGGAAGCCAGCAACTAGGAAACGAACGACAAACGGGTAGGGAACGAAGCGGGTGGGGTTCGTTCGTTCGAGGTCGTTCGTCGCGACAAGCGTCCGTCCGTTCGTCTGGCGTTCGGCCCTTACGAACTGAAAAAGGTCTGGTGGAAGAAGAGAGAGAGGCAGGCAAGGCAAGTTCCGGCAGGTGACTTTGGTATTAGAAGCACATTCGAACAGGCGAAGCGGCAGCAGCCCAGCAGGTAGGGGCAAGGTAGCACCGATACAATCTGCAGGACAGTTGAGAAAAGCTTGGATGTGTGTCTGGGAAGCAGGGGTGTGCAGACTGCAGCGTGCAGTGTCGGTGGATGGGAGGACGGGGGTGGGAAGCGATTTTAGGTTGTGAAGAAAGAAAGGAAGAAAGAAACGAACGAACGAACGAACGAGCGAAGGGAAAAGGAGGGTTAGGAAGATGGGACGGGATGGAGACGAGCCGGAAGATGAAGCAGACCGGCTCGTACGCCTCTTGGGCAACGAAAGAGAAAAACAAGACTTGGGCGGTTAGATGTCCCCCAGTGGAACAAAAGGCAAAGGCAGTGTCGAGCGTTTCGAAGGGAACCGGTTCTCTCTTGCTTTGGTGCTTCTACGGAGTATCAAACTAGGCATGCACGACAATGCCACCAACTGCCTCTACCTGCGTATGGAGGCAATTTGGGTGGGCTTCCCTTGGCGACGTTTGCCTGGTTCGGGCCTCGTCTGCCCCACGATCGGCAGGCCCAGTCCAGTATGACCACTGCCGGGTGCCGCACTAAGAGAGCAAGATGGTGTTGTCAGATGGTCCTTGGAAAATGGCAGTGACAGGGTCGATCGTAGTCAATTCCTTGTTCTTGTTCTTATTTTTGTTTTCATGCTTGCCAATCTCTCTTACTCTCTCTGATCGTCTACATAGGTATCACGCTGTTGGAGTCTTGGAGAGAAGGGTCTTCCCGTGTGGGTTATTTGAGTGAGTTACCACGTCACACCCGGAAGCGGTTCAGGGCGGACAACCAAAATAACGAAGGCGGCGCGGCGCGTGCGGTGACACTTCGTCTTCGTCTTCGTGGTATAACACCATGGGTGATCTCTCTCTCGGTCTGTCCCCCCTCCGTCCCCCTCTTCTTCCTCCAAGTCACACAAGCCAAGGGAAGAGGTTGAGAGAGTCAGAGACAGACAGCTCGAACATCCCCCCCCCTCCTCTCCCTCTCCAGTCTCAACCAGCAGCCCCCCTGTTCGCTGGTCGCTGTGGCGCTCGAGGGGCGTGACTTGGACTTGGGCTAGGGCGGTGCCTTCGTGCTTGGACGGTGCCGCTGTCAGATGTCAATGAACTCTTGAGTCTTGAAGACGCACGCACAGAAAGGCGGAGGGGGCCCTGACTTCATCCTTCTGGACCTCAAGAAAGCGGTGAAGTGTCTCAGTTATTACGGACATTGCGATCGTGAGGATTGGACCTCCGTACGGGTGTTATCGTTGGTAGGCAACCCCCAGACGACTTGCGGCGGGGCGGGAAAGAGACTATGCAGCGGATGGAATTAAGGTGTTACAAAAGTTAAGGGTATCAGCTCTTCTCCCCCCCCCCCCTGCCAGAGCTGAACTCCAGGCTCCTTCCGTCCAGATTAGGTGAGGCCGCTTTGCGATCAAGGTGAAACTTGAAAGAACGCATTTGCTTGGAATGGGGTTGTGATGTGGGTGGCTGTGGTATGGAAGCCGATTGGCGTTTGGGCGTCGTCACCCACTCCCCGGCTCACTCACATCGACTGGCTTCTAGATTTATGTACAGCCAGCCTCCTAGGCGGGGCATAGACAGTCATCTCAGTCTGAAAGGTATTATAGCCTCTCCGCTCCATGACGAACAATACTGAGTAAGGCAGTGGAAAGCGCCATTGGGTTTGTGGAACGCGGCAATTGCATTTCCAAGCCATCTTGTACGACACTTGCTTTTTGTTTGCTTCATTCCGTCTGATAATCCACTACAGCGCCGTAGCAACGTGAGCCCGCCCGGGTCAGCTCAATGCCATTGCTTATTCACCTCAATCATCAAAGGCAGTATCGCCGTTTTTGCTTCTAGCAATACCCGCTAGCTTGTCCATAATCTCGTCATGAAAGACTCGTGAGCCGATTCTGTCATCTCTGAGAGCTAGGAACTAACGTCTCCCAGCTTCCCATGTCGCTGGGTCCATCGTCACCCAGTGAGTCTAGTAAGTCTACCGGCGCCTTCTTCTTTGCCGGGATCTTTGGTTTTGATCGTTCCTCACCAGCCTTCATCCCCGGTAGAGCAACGGCCCCAGCCATCGGAGTGTGCCTCCCGGACTCAATAGTCATCGTTCCCGCTCGCTTGGGAGGCTTAGCCGGCGTACCGACTGGCTTACGCAGAGTGCCTTCCCTACTCGCACCAAGATTCGTGAAGCCTGTAGAGGCTCGGACCGGTAGTGGTGGCTTTTCTTCCGGCTCATCTCTATATTGACCCATCCCATTACTACTCAGAGCTGAAGATGCTGCAGCCGGTGCCGTAACCAGGTGTGCCGGCTTCTTCGCCACGGGTGGTGCCGGTTTGGATTTGGATTGTGACGACACCTGCGAAAGGTGGGAAATGGCAGATGACGGTCGCGGAGGAGGAGGTGTCGTTGTCGTACTTCGCGATTTATTGGAGGGTATCAGTGGTGGATGATGGATTGCTGCGCTTGCTCCCGTCTGTCTTCTAGGCGGCGGTGGAGGCGGTGCCGTTTCACCGCGTTGCGACTTTTCATCTTTGATGCTGAGGCTGTTGAGCTTCCCTGACATGCTTGACGGATCAAAAGGTGGAGGCAGCTTCCTAGTTATCCGGTTCGTTGCCGATGACGAGAGATCATTGGGCGCAGAAATATGCTCGTATGGCGAAGTTGATACGCTGGAGAAAGACGACAGTCTTGATCTGGGTACGTTGACCCAGTCCGGCTCTCCAGTCGGCGTGAAAGGATTGGGCGCCCTATTAGGGTTGAGTATTGTGGCGTGGCCCTCGGGAGCCGTCGGTTGCTTGATGTCAACTCTGGCCTGTTGCTTGTTCTCTAACCACCATTTCTGGCGGTCAGAACTGGCAGGAGGCAGCCCGGGTTCGATGGCTTCATAGCCAATCAGATCTTCATCGTCGGTTTCCTCTGAGTCCAGGTTTGCCGTCGTGTCTCCAACTTCGGCCTTTCGCCGTTGGTATAGCTCTTTGCTGATTTGATCTCGGAAAGCTTCATCGACGATACTGACGTTGCACTGGAATAGAGCATACACTGGCCGGTGATCCGAGAACTTGAGAGGGGCTGAGTTGTACGCCAGTTGACGCAGGCTCCCACCCTTGCGCAGAATACGATCGGTCCAGGCTGGGATACGGGCTTTCTCGCTGTAAGGGATCAGTATTTACATTGTCAATACATCGACCTTTTAAACGTACGAAGTATCATAATTGTCCGTACCAAGATCAAACTTGTATGTGGGCAGGAAATTGATACGGGCCTCTGAATAAAAGGGAAACGCAAGTCCTGCAATCATTTGAAGGTTCAACTACTTAGAAGTCAGCATGTTGATGGTAAACACCAGGGTCATATTCTCTACTCACCTGATCGTTCTCGTAAAGTGTCTCTAGATCGCCCTTTTTGATTAGACTGCGGGCGTTCTCAG